CGCTGTCGGACGCTCGGAACGCTGGTGGACGCTGACAGACGCTAGATTAAGACCTATACTTTCCTGGTCGCTGACGCTGCCTGGGCACTCGGATTGCTAGTGGACGCTGGTAGACACTGTGGACACTGCCGTTCAAATAAGAGGGCGATCAAAGCACGGGAAAGGGGTAGTAAGGACACGCCGTACGTTCAGAAAACTCAATCGGGTCTATTTCTGTCAGTGGAAAGATGAGTGTGCGTTTATTATATCTGGAATAGGAACATATTTTGATAGTTGACTTTTCCTGTTCCTCGCGCGATCTTAGTCGCTGGGAAAATTCCAACAGGAGAGGGGCGGGGTCGTGTTTCCAGAAACTTCCTTCGTAGGTAGGAAGTGGCCTGGGGGGGTACATTTGTTGCAATAGGCACATAAAGTACTTGGCACTTCAAGCATGGAATTATTGAGGACCCCTCCAAGCCTGTTGAGTCTTAACGGCGACAGACGTGCGAAATCATTGGTATGTCTTTTAATGACATGTTTAGATGGCTATTCAGCGGTTCAGCAAAAGCCCGTTCAGTTAGGGGCTACAAGCCCGAAAATTCCCGTCCAGGGGGGTGATGGAAGCGTCTGCGGCTTTTTTGTGGAGGTTAAACACTCTCGCGTGAAGAGCGGCCTCTGTGGCGTTTGTTTCTAACAACACTTGCGCTTAAGTGAAGCAATTTGCTTTTGTGTCAATCACGCTTTCTCCAAATTAGCCATTTGCTTGAGCCGGGCGTAACAGTGCTCCTATCCACTTGAGCTAAAACACAAGGGGAGGGCTAGGGGGCGGGTGTGTTAGCCGCTGCGGGAGAGCGGTTCGTTATTCGATTGAGGCCGGAAAGTTTTTTGTGGATTCCTTGGTTTTTCCCGTTCTAGTTTGGAGTACGTCCGCTACACTGGCGGTATCAGTGACGGGTCGTTATATTGTTCGTTAAAACCCCCCCCCCCCTCCTCAATTTAGGTGGGCCCCTCAACCGTCCTCGACGGTTGTAGCTCAAGCGTGTCCTTACGGTGAAAACTGGAGGAAACGGGTTCGGCTTGGTTGGGGAGGGGAAATCCTGATTGGCTAGTTATCCATCTTCCTGCTTAAAGTGCATATCTCACCTATGAGGACCTTGCGAACTCTTGACAAGAGAAATTGAACTCCCTATCTGTAATGTTTAGAGTTCCATAAGTCCCACAGGGGCGTTATTCTCTCGTCCTCTTCCTTCCCTAGCATTAGTTCCGCTGCTGTCGCAGGGTCCGCTGTTCGGTTAGAAGTCGCCACATTCTGTCGATCTACTGATCTTGCTGCTGTCGGTCTTTCGACTTCAGTGAGGTTCTTCTTGATTTGACTGTCCTCCATCTTTTCTGGTGGCGGCTCCTCGTGTCGCTTGCCTTGTTCGAATTCCTCCACGGTTGCCTTCCCTCTATCTCCAGACCTTCCTCAGCACCGTGCCCATACACAGTCGCTCCTCTCGTTGCGCTTTCCAAAAAAGGGTTGGATCGGAGCCCGCCCCCGTCCCTGTGTGACCGCCCCTTGACGTCCTCGTTCTGACTCTGCTTCGAACCGTGTCCTGCCCGCAGGCCATGTCTCAGCTTGTCATTAGCTGTGTGGAGCTGCCTCTCATGGTTCTTGCAGATCGGCCAGCACTCAGTGCCGTAGAGCATTGTAGACCTTACCACCGCCCGGTACCCCTTGCCCTCTTGCCCTGAGCGTTCTCGGGGAGCACACCGCGTCGCTTATATGCCAGTGGATCTCCCATCATTTTATCCAGGCCTGCTGTTGATTCTGTCGGCCTTTCACGCCTGGTCCACGCTGCCCATCAGCTCGCTACGATTGCTTCCGCGACGCGGTACTGGAAGTCCTCGACCCTTTCGATGCTCTCGCCGTGACGGTCTACGATGGGTTCGGTACACTCTTCGGAGCTCAGGAACTTGGTCTTCTTCACGTTCAGCCGGAGTCCATTCTCAGCGAGCACATGCCACCGCTGCACCTTGTCCTGGAGTTCCTCCTTGCTGGGTCCGCGTCAAGGGCGATGGCGCCAGCGTAGAGGCATCGGTTTTTCAGTGGTCTCTCTATTGAGTTTTTTTTCCCCATGACATCGGTAGAGTCAGGAGGAAGAGGAACGGGCTGAGGGCTGACCCTTGGTGTACCCCAACCGTAATGTTTACCTCCTTTGTCAAGCCGTGAGGGGTGCGTACAGCTGCTTTAGCCCCATCGTACATATCCTTCACTATGGAGATCAGGTGCTCCGGAACGTTACGTTCTCTGAGCGCTCTCCAGAGTACAGGCCAAGGCAAGGGGATAGATTGCCTTCTCAAGGCTTCAGGAAGTCTACAGTAGCACGGGTCGCCGCTTCTCTCGTACTTCTCCATAGCATGTCTCCGCGATATGGCAATCGGTGGTGGATCCTCTCGGGCATGAAGCCGAACTGTTCCTGCGAGATAGGGACAAGTTCCCTCAGCCTAGTGTTGACCAGGCGCTCGTACAGCTTCATGGTATGAGGAGTCAACTTGATGCCCGCGGTAGTTGGAGCACTCCGTGGCGTCCCCTTTCCGTTGTGAAGGATGGGAACGATTTCGCTTGCCTCCTCCACGGCATCTGCGGCATACGTTTAGGAAGTCTGTTAGCCAACTCACTGCAAGCGCCTCCAGGGCTTTCCACTTGCTCTACTCGGTACCCCGTGCTGGGACCACTTGCTTTCCCAACTCCATTCTCCTCCGTCCAGGGAGTGATGGGGTCTGCCGTTTCCTTTATCTGTGGGCTGTCCTTGCGGGGAATTCTTCGTTCAGTAGTCCCTCGAAGTATTCTTCCCACCTCTTTCTGACTTCGGCTGGTTTCCTGAGAATGGCCCCGTTGCTGCTCTTCACAGTCTTTATATCCCTGATGTCCTGAACCGCGCCATGCCGAGCTTTTAGCCGGCGGAAGAACGAACTTTGTCCCCTTTCTCGGCCTTCCAGCTTGTCGTACAGGGCGTCCATTTCCGTATTCTTGGCCTTAGCAACGGCTGCCTTAGCGAGTCGCTTGCAGCTCTTTGTAGGCAGCGTAGTCTTCTGGGCTCCTTGTCTTTTGCCAGCGTTTATATGCTTCCTTCTTCTGCTTGACGATCCCCTGGACTTCCTCGTTCCAGAACCAGGCTACCTTGTCTCCTCTGATGCCACCGCGCGTCTCTTCCCAGGACTTCCTTGGCACACTGTAGGATGACCTCGGATTTGCGTGGTCCAGGTGTCCTGGACTGGCCCATGTGGGTCTGGGAGCACAGCCTCCAGTATTTTCCTGCCGAAGCTATCTTTTTCTACCTTGTGCGTTTTCTACTACGAATTCTTCCGCGTCTGTTTTCACCTTCTCTTTTGGGCGATCTAGTGCATGTCTGCCAGGAGAGGCCTGTGCTGAGGGCCCAGCTCTTCCCCAGGCAGTACCTTGATATCCTTGATGGTTTTGAGAGACGATCTTCTGACCAGGACATGGTCGATTTCCGTTTGTCTCCCTCCACTGCTGTAGGTTACCTTTTGGGTCCTCCTTTTCGCGAAGAAGGTGCTGCAGATTGCTAAGTCGTGGGCTGTGGCTAGCCGTCATACTTCCGTTCTCGCCTTCAGCGTCTTTTGCCCCCTCTTCCTTTGACCTTGGCACCGCCTTTTAGGACCCCTTTCTCTCAATTATCCCACATTGGCCATTCACGCTCCCCAGCCTGGTGAGGTTAAGTCATCTTCCTGCGAACCTCATCTTTATGCCTCTGTCCAGGGTCGGCAGAACTTATACCTGTTCCCGCTCGGGGCTACCGGATTTGTGCGTGCGTACACGTTCATTACGCGTCCAGTAACGCCTCGTTTCTGCATCCCACGATCCGATAACTGATTTCTGTTCACGTAGTCATGTTTTATCAGACGGAGCGTCTGTCTGTTGTGAGGAAGATTCTGTCGCGCCGCTATGGCCAACGCATTCCGTATGATGTTTTGCTCCTATTGTAGAGCGGTTTTACGCCTTTTCTCCCAATCTCGGCTGGGTTCTGTGTGCACCGCTTCCATCGTCGTGTCCTGAAGGCATTAGTGACTGGAATATTTCCTCCGTCTTTATGGGGTCCTCAACCCTCGACTCTCACGTTCGGTTAAGACGACGCCTCGTTTACAAGGGTCCCAATTCGAATTACCAGCTTCTTGGCCGAGGGTCGTTCTCACGCCCTCGGTAGCCTCTCGCATACTGACCCCAGAAGTCACGTGACACTTTCGTGCGAGTTGCATAAGTTGTTTGCTGTAACGGGGTATTCGCTCCTATTCAGCGGCTCTGTCCAACTCTGGGGCCCTGACCTGGTATTCGATCCCCATTTCTGCAATTTTGTCAAGGCAGGTTTGTGCGCCGGCAGGCGATCGAAATCGGACTCAGGGTTGTGAACCATTTGAGTGATACACTCTTGATCACTCGGCTATCCCTGTCCTCAGATCTCTGCAGGAGACGTCAACAGTTATCGAAGGAGATCTCCAAAATGCCTCCACCAAAACGGACTGCACTTTCACTGGAAAGACTATTCTGGTACAATCAACACTGGTGATGCAGCTGCGGTGACTTGTTTTTATTACCGAGCTTGCCACTCTTCTATCAGGAAATCGAGAGGCGCTTGGCCCATAAACTTACATGTGTTTACGGGACAAATTCCAGACTCCTTTCGGGCCACTTTTGGCACCCCTAAGAACCGCCTTATGGTAAAGACTCTGACAAATTGGGCCATTACTGTGGCCAATTGGCGACTGATTCTTTGCCTCTGATATGCAGGTGAGAAAAAGCCTCTTGTGCGTCGCTGTGAGCCATCTTGTAGCCCTAATATCACGGGGCCTGCCTCACGTTATATTCTAGAGTTTTGGACCACGAGGACTCTGAATACCCGTCCCAGAGAACGTCAGAAGCTCTCCATTTTCACACCATTATATATCATTATGTTTTCCATTTTACCATTTTTGGGTTATATTTTTTCTTTGTATTTTGATTATACAGAGAACTGATTGGAATGGATAATGAGAAGTTTGAAACTCAATTATGGAGTTTTAGGGACCCCAACAATCCATCTGATGAGAAATGGTTCACATTTGATCATTCGTATTGGTCACATGATGGATTCACCACCGAAAAGGATGGCTACTTATCACCGGAAAGTAGCCGATATGCCGACCAGGTATGAGCCAAAGAAAGCGAATGAGAAGGGTGTAGAGCGTTACTTCCGAGTTGAAGCGAATGCGGCCAAACAGACGTTGTAAAATGAGTGACGTACGCAAGGTTCGCGCCAGGACCCAACCCACTCTACGTAGCAGCGCTTCTGCGCATCGACTCTCTCAACTCCCTCCATGTCTGCGTCTTCTCAAGTCGACTAGCTTTCCCCGTGCCTGAACTAAGTAATGCTCAGCTGAGCGCGCGATGCCGCGACTTTGAAGTAACGCTTCACACCTGAGTGAGAAAGAAATTGAGAAAGAAAAAATAAAAGTGGAAGAGGGGAGTCAAGCAAAGAGAGGGGCATGGAAGATATTCATTCTTTCATTTTTTAGAAGCGCGTGTTCGACGACCTTGGAAAAGGTATTCTGGAAAATGCATGGGCCGGTTATAACTGCTCACTGTTCGCCTATGGACAAACAGGGAGTGGCAAAAGTTACTCAATTGTCGGATTCAAAGGCAACAAAGGTGACATTATAGTTACTGCTCATGATGATACTGTAGCTTTTGCCGTAGAGCTATGGCGATGTGATGCACTCGGCGCATTGTTGTAACAACCGCGCCGCAGCCGCGCGTGTCTCCTACTGGCCCTTGAGCATTCCCGGTATGCCCTGCTGCTCTTGTTCTGAATATAATAGCCTAGTATGATGCAGCCAGTTAATCAGATTAATTGGTAGTCGAGAAGAAGGCACATCATCCGTTGTGCAAATCACAACCAAGGGAGTCGTATTTTCTCGCTGGGAAGAGGGCTATCGTATTTTGTCATGAGGATTTCCCCGTTTCAGGTACCCCCCCCCTCTTCCTGCCTACCAGCGGAGCGCTAAGACTACCTGTGACAGTTGATCAGAGTTGTTCACCCACCTTCTCTCCCTTTTTCCTGCTTGTTTTTTCAGGAAAAGTTAGAAAAGAAGAAAGGTAACCGGTCAAGCTGCAGAAGGGGTAGTAGCGATGGAGAGAAGGTGGGGTTGTTGAAACGATGAGCCCTGGAGCGCGCTAGGGAAGAGCCCTGCAACTCTGCTCTCTGACACCGGCTGGGTGACCCAGAATCATCTGCAACTTTTTCCAACGCGTCCTTGAGAAGAAGGAACGGGGGGTTTTTTTTTTTTTTTTTAGTTTTTGGCCACGGTGACAAGCAGGCAGCGCTAATCGTTTTGATAATCACAAGGGGGGGGGGTCGTATTTGACCGCGAGGGTGCCCCCCCGCCGCTGTTCTTTACAACTGCAATTTGTGATAGCTGAAACTAGTAGTTGGACGACCTTCCCCCTACCCTCTTCGCTCGAAAGCAAAATTTGTGGGGAAAAAAGTAGGAAAAATTTCGGGGAAATACCGAAAAAACTGGAAAGAGTGGTAGGAAGTTGAGAGAATTTAGGAAAGTGATAGAAGGATGGGGGGGGTCGTATCAGGGATAGAATTAGGAAGGCCGTATTTTGCAGGAATTTATCACCGCGCGATGGCGTGCCCTGGTCACAAGGCACAGACGAGGGCAGCCAATCGCGAAAATGCGCGGCTCCTCCCAGCTATAGTAGCACCTCGTTCATCCTACCCGCGCAAGTATGTACGGTATGACTTAATAAATTTTGAAATCGGTAATTTCGAGGTATTGTGCCGACATTTTGTGAAGAGCTATTCAAAGAGATCGAAGCTAAAAAGGAGAATGGTAAGAAAAGCGGCTCTTACGAGGTGTTCATTTCCATGTTTGAAATCTATTGCGAAAAGGTATGCTTATCATTTGATCTGGGTCAAATTTCCTAACCAAAAATGATTTGCTCAGATTCGAGACCTGCTCTCAAACAAGGAACCACCAAAAGGAGGACTAAAATTGCGTGAACATCCAAAAACTGGATTTTATGGTGAGTAGCTTATGTTGATACTGGAGATGTGGAGACCAGTAACCATTAAAGGCAGTTGGCACGATAAATCCCCCAAGACGACTAGGATCAATACTCCTGGCAGGATAGAATTCCGCGACCCTGGGCAGGCGCTGCATAGCGGTTTCCCCGAGGAAGGTGCCCTTATAAGGGCCCTATCAAGCCACAACTTTACGTCCCAAACGCCCGCCACGCCCACAAATGGACGACCGTTCCTGACGCTCGTATTCATTCATTTGCTAAGCAAATTATGAAGCGAAGGGATTGGTATGAAGCGGCCGTGATGCTGCATGCATACATGGGTACACATATGCAGCCGTATCTTCGGTAGCGGTGATTGGTAAGATGCCTACGGGAAACTCGTCCGAAATCGATTTACAAGTCACTGAGAACGGAGGCTTTTTCTTCGCAGGATTTTGACCGTTTCACTCCGTTCTTTCGCCATTTCCCCACTATACAGCGCCCTACTAGCATTTTAGGCTAAGTAGGAAACCATCGTGCCAACTGCCTTTAAGTCTTGAATGGTGCGCCGCTCCTCCTCCTACACCAGTTAGAAAGAAGGTGCGCCAAAGGGAAGCATAGTTGTTGTGAGCCTCATCCGAATGTTCCACCTGTTCCAGTATCGTGGAAAGTTTTTTCAAGATATCATTACAGTGGAGAATTTGTCAAGTGCACCAGTGAACTCGTACAAAGAAATCGAAGCTAAAATCGAACAGGGCACGAAGAATCGAACAATCGCCGCTACGAATATGAACGCTACGAGTAGTCGGTAAGGATGATAAGGTTGTTGGCTACAGCGGTCCAACTCATGGTCATAGAGGGTTCCTACCTTGTAGTCACTCAGTGCAAACAAATGGGTGACTAGGTAAGCGCAGCCAGGTGAATGTGTCTGATACCAGTGACCGAATACTCAGTCAGGTTCGGAGCGAAACAAGGTTCGAACCACGGGCACAGCACTGCCGATGGGGATTTTGGTCGAGCTTTTTACGACCCCCCCCCCATGCTCGTACGATGTACGTCGCATGCTTACTACATACCCCCCGCTCGACGACTTTTTCATGAATGACACTGGATTGGCTGACTGTGGTTGTGGTTTATACTCGGCGAAAAAGTTGTCGAGCGGGGGTATGTAGTAGGCATGCGACGTACATCGTACGGGCGTACATAGTACCTATAACACAGAAAATTCATAAAACTCATGAAGTGAACCACGTAACTCCTAGCGAATACGCCCCCCCCTCCATAATGAGCAAATCGACCCCCCCTCCCCTCCAAAACGTCCGCGAAGCGAGAAAAATGAACTATAAAAATAAATTTTTCCCAGCCAAAATACGACCCCCCCTTTTGGCGGCCTCATACGACACCACCCCCCCCCCATAGGGAATCCCATCGAACGCTGTGCCCTGGTTCGAACTAGTGCTGTACTGCAATCGTTTTATCGCCTCTAGCCATTAGGCCATGATGGAAAATGTGGTGTTTTCTTTTAGAGCGCACACCATCGTGAAAGCTGCTGTTTGTGCAGAAGTCGTCAAAATCCAGTGGTGGAGCTACAACGAAGAAATCAGAAATCAACCTTGTGGACCTTGCCGGAAGGTTTGTTTGGAAACAGAGGTGTTAGGAGAGAACTGCAAAGTTAGTTTGTCATTCAGGGTCATGTATCACCATGGCATTCCCTGATGGGCTACATACCGCCACTTTCTCCTAAGGGTGGGGGGGGGGATTGCTAATCATTTTCCTTGTCGCTGTGGTGTTGTATCCGTTTAAGAAAAGGTTGGTATCGTGGTAGGCGGCGCGGTCCACCATTCACCTGGTCCAGTGGTCATGTTTCGATCGAATCTCGTCCGAACAACGGAGCTTCCAAAGGAAAACGCTAAAGAAGCTCTTGCAAACTGTGGTTTGGACCAAATCACCCCTAGAAAGGGATGAACCAAGATTGACCTTCAAGACAACTGCTCCACATAAAGAAAGGAGTTAACACTCACAATGTGCCAGTCTGACTACAATGTGGGATCAGTCGCAGGTACTGATCTGTGGTTCGCCACCCTACTGATTTTGGTCGATTATTAGGTAAAAGGATAAATTACCCAGCTTTATCGACAACTATTGAAGATCGAAGTGGAATTTGAATGGGAGTTCGCTAGTGGGAGGTGCAAGCATTGTTTTATCCTTCCAAGAGAGTCTGATGCCGATCGACCGGCTCTCTGCTGTTGAAAGGTTTTGTTGATACGGGCGGAATTCGATCCATGATTTGATCCCCGAGCTTGGTGCGTTTGCCCCTACAGCTTCCCCTCCCTGATTAGTGAAGAGAGTCTGATGCCTATCGAGTTCAGTCAGTCAGTTAGGGTTCGATGCCCTCAGTATCTCTTGGAAGAGACTTCGGAAGTCTGTGGTCCGTGTAGGGAGTGTGGAGCAAAAGCCACACTATGTGAGTTTTTGGACCACGGTTGGGTTATTTCAGCGAACGCCAACGAGACGCTGGTACTGAAGGGGACCGAATGAAGGAAGGAATCGTTATCAACCAGTCACTGTCTACTCTCGGTCGAGTGATCAAAGCACTACATGAGCAGCAAAGTAGTAAGGGAAAGAAAATTCAGGTGAGTCTATTTTCTCAGCTACATCTACACGTTGCGCGATGATCAGATGGGGGCGGGAGGATCTTGGGCGGCTCACAGTCACTATGGCCCTTCTTATGACGAGCCAGGGGCACGGTCCTTGCGTTGTGGAGAATTGAGAGAAATGTAGCAAGATCCCACTCGACACTCCTCTGACACGGAGACCCCTTCCCGTTCTCTCCTGAAAATTCGCTTTCCTGAACTGTCCTACTGTCTAACCACTTTTGCGCGAGTATTCTTTCAAGTCTCGAATTGTTTTTTCTCGTGTGCCAAGAATGGAGAGGGGGGGGGCGGGGTGCGAAGAAAATCACCCGCCAGACCACTCATTGTCGACTCACCATTCGCCGCGGACAGTGCCCTATAAGCTTGTAGTCGTGCGCAATCTCCTTAACTCAGCTTACCACAACTAAATGTTAGACCTGCGTTATCGCGACCCGGCACTCTGGAAGAACGCTCTCGGATGGCGAACAGCCAAAAACGATTATGAAGATAAAGTTGTTACGCCATGTATTCAGAATGGATTATGTATCCTGCATTTTGTTCATCCAATTTTGTCCATCATTTAAACTTAGTAGATTTCACATTTAGAAAAATTCTAACGTGTACAATCAGCCAAAAACAGGAAGAAAGGACTATTGGAAAACAGCCTTTTCTGTCAGTATGGGGGCCAGGAGATCAGATCCGATTTACGAGTGCATTGCAAAAGAGGCATCTTGCAAGTGGCGCCGGCATCCCCACAAACACCCTGAAATGCGTTGACGCGCAAGTAGTTCACGGGAGCTATGGTCGGATAGCTAGGGGAAGTGCCGCTCGGCGAGCCCACTTATATGCTAGTCCACGATTAGCCATCGTGTTTGAAAGTGAGTAATTAGTATCGCCTAATGTTCGCGGCCGACATGTCCCGTTTCTCGCAGCGCCGATTTTACGGCGACCACGAATGCCGCTGCCCTTAATTCTCGTGATCGACTAAGTAACTGTGCGATTTTTTCTCTTATTACGGCTGGGCCTAAACACTCAGAGTTTCGGTTCAAATTTAGCATGGAATTCAACATACGTTCTAAATTTATGTATCTATTTGTCTTCAAAAAGTTTTATTTGTTTTATAAATGTGATCTACCTAGATCGCTGCCATTTCTCCAGCAGACATCAACTACGATGAAACTCTATCTACACTCAGGTTTGTGCATATTTTCGCAACTGCTGACACTGTTCACCGTTGCATGTCAGGAAATCCGAGTTTCCCGGCGGTGCGGCGGATTAGCGTGCGCGGCAATCGCACCAGCGCCCAAGTGATCTGACACAGATGTCTTTATTATGAGCCATGCATTCGGCTCACACTATAAGTGTCACTAGCGCATTAGGGCTTATTTAGTGTATACAGTGATTTGCAAGTCCAACCACTCCCAAATATTGGTTTTGTCCAGTCAGATCTAAGGTAAACGTAAACGTACGGGCGTAATGAAACTTGTGGCGATGAAGGATAAGTTCACTTGAAGACAATTTCTGCGATGGTTGGGTGGGCACAGAAATGGGGCAGATTACAACTACTAAATCTTTCCTACTACTGGTGCACCTCCTTCTGATACGGTCAGGAAGAATGGTTACGAGTCCCCGCCTATCCGGCAATTGGGGAATTGTACCTTATTACGAAATACGGTCCATGCGCGTGTGGTAGTGATTCCTTCCCACCCTTACCAAAAATAGAATGAAACTAATTTTCTCATTTTCCTGAACCCCAAGAACAAGCTCAATCTTTCCTTGAGTCACATTATCCACTACACAATAGAGAAAGTTACTGTGATTGATGCAGCTAACAATATGGAGGTGTAACTAGAATGAGCCTTGGAGGCATAGGGTGCGCCACGTACCCAGCCTTCTTTAGAATTGTTGAGGTGAGGTGGGGGGGGGCATGTTTATGTCTTGGTCTCTCTACGACTAGAACTGGTTTGCACGCAGTCAAACTGCGGTCGCCAGTGAAGAAAAGGCTCATAGGGCGCTGCCATGAATTGCAACTATTCACTTCAGGTCGAAATATTAGGTTGTCCGGAAAGTTCTCAGCGTTTTGGGTGTTTCACTCTA